AGCCTGACTGCCACCAAAGACACAATCGCAGCGAGGCTACGCAAACCAGAGGGCTTCAGGGGTTCTCCGATCTTCGCGGACGACCGGCAAGTGGACCCGCTAACTGACGTGTCGTGTCAGATCCGGCCCGACTCCACAGACTCAGAAGAACTCACTTATGATCTGCTGATCACAGACTTCTCGAGATGTGGAGTTCTCAAGAGAAACGTATGTATTTGTTGTCTTCCTACCCATTGCTGGTTTCTCATTTTTATCTGTTCTCCGTTCTATTCTCAATCACTTTCATAGATACCCAATTATTTATCCTTCATTTCGACATATTTCTCCGCTGTTTCCACGCACTTTATTTTTTATTTGTGAAGGTTAAGTTCGATAAAATGTGTGCATTGTACTTGTGGGAAGTACAAATATTACATCGTCACAGAAAATTCTCAGAACGTACTGGAACCTAATGCAATGCGTCAGCTGTTGTTAGTGTCAAAGAACGGGATTGATCTAACTGAAGCAGAATGATAGCGTCATTATTTGTTGCAGTATAAAATGGAGTTTTTAACACAGCTCATGGGCTACGCCAAGTCAGAGAGGCCATTAAGAGTCAAACGATATAAAACAGTCGTTTCACTTTGTGAACTGCAATTACAATTCTAAGTTTTGCAGCGAACAGCCTATTTATGCATATTTTCATACAGAACCGAGTTAATAATATGCCTGCTTTAACCCTTGTCAGACGGACAGAAATAAGGATGACCGAAGGCAACGCAACTTGTCTAATGAAGGAATTCATGTCGCGGCATCACAAACTTATCATTTGTTGTCAGGTGACACAAGTTTATACTGATTTGCATAGGATACAGTCCGAGCAAGAATAAAGTGAACCTTCATCTCATTACATCACTGCAATCTGAAGAGTTATAAAATGGAAATATCGGGGATGAAATTGCCATGGAAACTACGAGAAAATAATATAAAACAATAGTACACATGAAATGCGCACACTTTCAAAGCCTGTGTAGATATAAAAGTAATTTGGTAGCACACAACAGTACCGAGGCTTTCTCCGCCAGACTGTACATACAACTTCTCCCTTGCCTTTTCATGAGCTAAAATACCAACGAAAATATATCCATTAACCCAAACAAAGATGTACTGGTTATACATGGAGACATAAGCTACAACACACAGAATATTGCATGCACCACGTGAACAGGGAAGCCTACTGCATCAACAAACATGCTGATGTAACGATAATAAACTATATTCGAGTTTAGGAGGAACCTGGTTCAAATCTTGACAAAATGTTTCCTCCCCTGATTCCCCAGGCTAATGTCGGAATATACCTTGAAACACGTCCCGATCGCCTGCTTCCGAATTATATCCTATCCAACATCCATTACAATCTTCACTTGAAACAGCGTCGATAACATCATAATTGATAATCGATAATAATTTTCTGATAAATACAAAATCCCATTTCCTTCCAAAGGCATGTCTACACCTAAATACTTCATTTTAAATCAGTATCTTAACATCTTCTACTCTAAAGAAAAAGGCGATACATTAATAAGCGACTTTGTTACAGGGCTTTGTGCATGTCCGCATCTGGTTCCCACAATTCCCGGGTGTCGTCATGATGTCCGACCAGGAGCTCATCATCATGTGCAAACCACCTGAACCAACCATTATTGAAAACAAGGCAGCTGGGTTTGCAGGCAGCTTGTAAGTGTATAAAGGTCCAACACTACTTACACCAAAGTAAACCAATGGACATGAACATAAACCATTTCCAACCACCTTCCATCCTCAAAACTATTTACTCATTATTAAAATTCAGTTAATCTTCCATCTCCTCCTCCACCTTCCAAGTGGCTGCTTTTCAAAGGATTTCTCTACCTCTTGTCTCCCAGCCAAGTTACGTGCCTAGCCCCTCCTTAACTTTGCCACTTCAGCAAGCTTGTATGACTGACTCATTTACCCAGAGACTGAAAGATTGACTGGGAAACTGGGAATGACCCGTTCTTCAAGTGCCTGAGCACTGTGGGTCCCAAGTTTTAGTTGGTTTGATCTGTAGACATTCGGTAGGACTCCTCGGACGAGGGATCAGTCTGTCGCAAGGCCTCTACCTGTACACAGGACAGCACAACCCAGAAAAAAAGCGAACAGACATCCATGGCTTGAGTGGGATTCGAACCCACGGTCCCAGCGATCAAGTGGCAGAAGGCCCACGCCTCAGACCGCGCGGCCACTGCGGACCCCAGAAGATTGACTAACAAAATTAATGATCAACAAAGCCCATCACTATACATAATTCTGAGCTTGTTCTGCACCTCTCATCCTGTTTGCTATTCATGCAATCATCCAATGGATAACACCTATTGATTAAACAAAGCCATTAAATAAGATAAACAACTAGGAAATGTTACAAATACATCCATGTATGGTACAAATAGTATTAACATTTGCAACCTGTGATTGTTACACTTGCTATAATACTTGTCATTTTTCTAGTCCAAATGGTGCCCGGGTGTCAGGTGTGGTGGAGGAGACACCAGGACGCCTCGAGTATGAGGTAGCACTGTACAAAGAGGCACCCCCGACTAGAGTGGGCAACAACAGCAACAGTGAGCTACCTGTGGACCAAGCAGTGCCCATAGGAACCAAATTGCAGCTCCGAGCCAGGATCAACCCAGATTCAGGTATGCTACAGTTATCTTTTAGACTGTTATGCTACTGTTGTCCTGATACAAAATAAACCCTGACCCAGGTGTAAGACAGCATCAAAACTAACCAGAAATGCTACTACTGTCATGTGAGTCAGGATAAACACTGACCCAAGTATGCTAATGTTCTCCTGTGAGAAAGAAAAGTTCTGATTCAAGTTTGCTGCTGATATTGTATGAGATATGATAGGATAGGACAGGATCAACCCCAATTCAGGCTTGCTACTTTTGACCTGTGTTAGGTTCAACCCAACAATAAGAAGCTATGTAAGATTTGAGGTTTTCACAGCGGTGAGTATGAAGATTCCTGTCTTCTGGGTTGTTGCGCTGTGTAGTCTGGGAGATGTTAACCAACGTTTCAGAGGGCATACTGCCTCAGTCATCAGGGCGATGAACATCTACCATACTACACAGCGCAACAACCCAGAAGACAGAAATCTTCATACTCAGAATCGCCCTGATGACGGAGGCAGTATGACCTCTGAAACGTTGGTAAACATCGACCAGACTACACAGCGCAACAACCCAGAAGACAGAAATCTTCATACTCAGAATCGCCCTGATGACGGAGGCAGTATGACCTCTGAAACGTTGGTAAACATCGACCAGACTACACAGCGCAACAACCCAGAAGACAGAAATCTTCATACTCAGAATCGCCCTGATGACGGAGGCAGTATGACCTCTGAAACGTTGGTAAACATCGACCAGACTACACAGCGCAACAACCCAGAAGACAGAAATCTTCAATAAGAAGCTAGTTTTAATAATTATCATTGTCACAATGCTGACAAATTCATAGATGACACCAAATTCACACTCCCAGCCACCCCAGTTTATTAGTTATAAAATTAAATACAAATCAATGGTTTCATTTTGCTACATGTTGTTCCTTTCATGGTCTCTTACACTGAAAAATGGACATAGATTATATGTGCTCAGAACAATACATGGACCTAAGAGGAAAGTGGACAATTTAAAATGTATTACAGAAACTTTTATTCAAAACTTTTAGGATAGTGCAAATAAGGAGTTTAAATAGGTTGGGATATGTAACTTGGATAATGGAGACAAGAAGTGGATACCTGATGAATCAGATTACCTCTTGCAAAGTAGGCACTTGGTTGACCATGCAAGAGATGAGAAAATAACATTGAAGATGTGATAGATGGTGATATTTTGGGTTATTGCTCCATGTAGTCCTTTGCTTGTTTTTCAACATTTTATAAAAACATACTGCCTCCATCTTCAGGACTAAAGATTAACTTGCATACTAGGAAGCAGATTGTAAGGAAATACAAATAGCAGACCTGACTCAGGTTTATGTCAAATGGCAGCCTATGGTATCGTCAGTATTGAACCTTTATGTTCTGCTACCTGGTGGTTGGTTTTAGTAACTTTTCAGTTTTCTGCCTTGTTGTTACTTATATTACAAAAGTACATAAATAAAAATTGCATACTTCCTAAATACTGTCAATCACAAAAGAATTTTATAATTCTACAATTCGTGAAAGTGAATGTTATGTTTGATTTCTTAGCATGGAAATATGTGAAGCTTATGGAAGTGACTGTCTCTCCAGATCCTGATGACCCTCACATGGGTGGTAGCGTCGCTCTTGTAAAGGATGGGTAAGAAATCTTTCACTTCCAATACTTAAAGATCCAAATTACAGACACAGAAATATTCCCATTGTCAGATTTTGCCTGAAACTGTATCACACAGCTATGATGAGATCATAATACAACTATCAGAAACATGGACATCAACCATTTTCATACTACACACAAAATATCTAGGCCAGAAACACTGGCCCATATGGCCAGGATTTGTTTTTGGTTTTCTGAGATAATGGAAAGAAATGTTTCCTTCTCTCTCAACTCTCTGTGGTTTTAAACAAAAGAAACTGTACAGTACTGTATGGAAATATTACCAACAGAAGCATTGTATAAATAATAAACACCAGCCTGGAAGTTGTTAGTCTTTAACCATTCATTCAATCAAACTATAAAACCTATTGCAAGCCCAAATATTAACCTATTAGTTGAATGTGGCACAAATTCATCAAAATGTATTATTTTATTTCATACATTTATTCAGTGAAAATGTTTTGGCTAACATATTGTAGAATAATAAATATTTATCACTTCCTTTGTTCATGTAGATGCCGTAACCGAGATTTTGCATCCATTATCCCACACCAGCCAGCTCGCTACAGGGAACGTCATAATGAGGTGTTTCTTGACTTT